TCTTCTTCTTCTTCTTCTTCTTCTTCTTCTTCTTCTTCTTCTTCTTCATCCTCCATTAATTGTTGTGTTTGTTGATAAGTGGCAAGCGCCATTTCTAAAAAGCGAAAAATTTCTCTCACACCGTCTTTACCTTCTTTTTTTATTTTACCATATTCCTCTCTCAGTTCATCAACAGATAAAGCCATTATAAACCTTTTCTTCTTCTTTTTTCTCTTCTTCTTCTTCTTAAAACAACCAAGATAATTCAAAGCTTGAAACAATTCCCCAAAATCCCAAAGTCATCAAACAATCCAAACAGAGCACAAAGTTCTTCACACTTTTTCTTCCTGGGGTAATATCAATTGGCAAGGGAAAAAAAAAACCCAATCTGTATTTTAAAGTCTTATTGCAATTAACTTCCAATCTCAAAATCTTCCAGACATCTCCTCCAACAAAATCTTAATAAAAATTTTCCTTTTGTCCTCTCCCTTCCCACTTATAACAAAAAGCTTTAAATTTTTACCTTCTGTAAAATAGCAGGATTTTCAATATCTATTTGTTAAATCCATGTGGAAGGAGAGTAAACTTTCTCTTTAAACACTTTCACTCGCCGCTTGTAAATCTCTTCTGGAAACAAAGTATCTTTCAAAAAATCAGGATTTTCAGGATATTACTTGTATCTTATAGTCTCAGTTCAGCCAAAAAACTTTCGCTTCAGAACTTTCTCCTTCTTCCTCCAGCACAATCTTATCCAGCTGTCAGCTTCTTTGTGGCGGCCATTGCTGACCGCCGCTCCACCGCCTTGAGAAAAGAGGGTTAAGCCGGGTGGGGAAGGGGTCTGCGAAAACCCCAACCCCCTGTCCGGATCCCTCCTATCTTCGGTTGCCTCTACGGGGCAACCTTAGCCTCCAGACCCATCTGGATCGGAGGCACCAAGACGGCTAGCGCGACAGGGATCGCGCAGGATCGCGAATCCCTGCCGCTGCCGAAGCCGACAAACCGGAAGTTGGCCTACCCTGCTCTATTATTTTGTATAATAAGAAATAATAATAGGCTTGATTTGCTTCTAAAGTGTATATTGTGTGTATTGCGTTACATACAAGTAATCCATATGTGACCGTTGCATTGGATAACCATTTTTTTTTTGTTTAAACAAGTTGCAGAGATTTAACAATTTAAATGTTGATAGCTTCTGATACATGCATGTTTGCATATATGTGCCCTTTCTTTCTAAACTGAAGTATACAATAAAATCACAGACACACACTAATACATACGTGCATAAACAAATGTCACTTTTATTGTCTTTCTAGATTCCCATCTCCAATGTTTCTAGGAGTAGGACAGGTATGTTCACAGATAAAAGTGGTAAATATTTCAATTTACAAATATGGGTTTTCCGGGGGTTGAAGGGTGAAATGCAAATGATTTGCTTCCACTTAAGAGAGTTCTCTTTGTTAACACCCCTCTCAAGAGTTTTTATAAAGTAGAATTGTAACAGGGATGGATCATATTCTGGTAACTGAAACTATATTAGTGTTTTGGAAGTTCAGAGAAAAGTAGGTGTTATACAAAGTGAGCAGGGTCAAGATTTTCCTTGAGAGAAGGGATTTTTCTTTATTTTTGTAAACAATGCTACTTTAGGATTAACATTTTAAAGCATGCTCTATTTTTTAAAAATCTTCACAGTTGAATGAGAGCACAAAAATGTATGAGAACTCCCATGCAGATCAAACTGGGGTTCTGTGTCCATTGGTGTAGTTTGCAAACTAAACTGCGTAGAGGTTATTAAAAACAAACCAAACAGGTCTTCGTAACAGCAATGTCTATAACCTACAACAGCTGCATATGGAAATGATATGTTGTTGCTGTGTGTGATTGTTTTCTCTCCCTTTTAGATGGTAACCACTATTCTCATCTTATATGTGTCAAAATTAAATAAAATCATTCATTTTCCTGATCTTGACAAAAGCATCCCTAAAAAGGTAAGAATGACTAACTCTTTGCATGGGTTTTAATATTGCCAAGTTTAAAAAAAAGTTCCTAAATTCTATTGGAGCATACACATAATCCAGTTCTGTGCTTATATAATCAAAATGTCAGGGCATTAATTCTCTAAAGTTAATTGGTAGCTACAAGGAGAACTGTACTGCATTTTTCCTAATGTTATTTACTTTGTTAGAAAGAATTCAGTTACTCCAACTAACTCTGCAATGTTTCTTCAAGTTGTTCATCAGCATTTCCCTTATAATACTTATTGAGAAATGCAAAGTAATCAAGTATATTGATTTCTCCACAAGTTATGTTGAATGCCAACCAGTCCATTTCCTTTAGTGTTCAGTCACCAAATTAGAGCTAAATTAAACACGAAATGGTTTTTAATTTTTGCTCTAAATGCAAGGTTTGGGATCTATGGTAATAGTGCTGAAAAGTTATCCTCACCTGTGCCAATGGGATTAGGTTCACACATTTTTTTAAAACGAATCAAAACCATAGAAATCATATTTTAGCTGACTCTGTTTGCAGTTGAGGTTCACTCAGCAAGTCATTAAACAAATGATGAGTGAGTAACCTGTCTCATGCTTGGGATTTTATTTTTCCTTGTGGTGATATCATGGGCCATAAGGCTCACAACTGGGAAAGTCGCAATGTCATTGAAGTGGGAGAGCTGCAGTTTCCACATCTGTGTGAGTAAGTTTAAGCAACAAAATTAGAGATGTTTGGGGCAATGGGTTAAAGCCCAGCCCTTTTAAACATCCATCATAAACATTGCACACATGTAAAAAGAGGTGGGGCCATTTTAGGGTGAAAGGAAATCTAGCATGTTTGGAAGTAACCCTCCTCACCAAGGACTAAGTGTTTGCAGGCCTGGTGTAAGAGTTTAAAGTCTGAGAGTGGGATGGGGGCCCTTTTGGGGTGAGAGGAAAAAGAAGATGAAGAGATGAACACAAGCTGAAGCAAAACAAAGGGTGGAAGAAACAGCTGTAGGCCTTCTTTGTTCATGCCTGCCACACTCCCCTGACCCTTCAAAGAGGCCTAGCCTTGAAACAGCTCCTTTCCTTGGCTCAGAACAAGGCTCTTCCCTACAAAAGGGGTGCCAGCTGGATATCAAGGAAGCCAGCTCTTGGCAAGGTAAAGGATTGCCCACGCTTTCTCAGTCTAGGCTGCCTCCACAGATTTGCCAGGGTGGGAGAAACCACAGGAATGCTTTCCTGTTGCAAGATACTTAGTCCCTTCATTTGTTGAAAGTTCACGTATTTATTTGACCAACTGAAGCTTCAAAGGAGACATCATTTGTTGTAAAGCTTTGTCCTTGAAAGCTTAGAAGGGCAAGTGTGAATCTCTCAATCTTCCTTTTCCTTGGTGGATATTTGCTTTTGGCACTTGTAAATTCTCTACATTAAGGAGTCACTGCCACTCATTTTACCCTTACAGGGGAATTTGCATGGTAGAATTGCTAGATTCTTTCCATGGATGATGGTTATTGTTTTCCATCATGTCCTTTTAAAAATAAACCCAGCGACACATAACATTGCTGTTGCTTTTTTTTGCATGTATGTGAATTGCACAATGATAATTGTTTTTGAATAAAGATCAAAACCACAAAATATTGCAGATTCTGGGATAAAGTGGAGTCTCCAGATATATTGGTTGGGGGGAAAAACTCTGCTAATCTAATATTATGGCTCTTGCGGTTTTGATTCTTGATCAGTTCTACACAACCAAGATGTTTGTGACCATGCAATTATTAGAAAACTCCATTGTTCTCAGTAGGTGGCAGCACTTAGTTAAACTTGGTTTATCTCATAAAATAACAATTCCAGACTTGTTAGTGCTGAGATGAAGAATCACCAGGAGATCACCAGGCTATTGACAAGGCTGGGAATTGGGAAAAATCATCTGGGTGAAGGAAGTAGAAAACTATTTCTCTACTGTTGCTAAGTAAACACCATGGATATAGCCATATATAGCCATTGTCATCATGATGGGTTCAATAATTGTATTGATATAAGCAGGAGCAAGGTCATGCAAAGAATCAAATGATAACAAGTGATGTTCATTTCAAAGCCTGCTAATTTGTCTGTTTCTATTGGTGTTAAAAAGCCTATGGTTTATGAATTAATTTGAATAGATTTCTTCCAGAATGGAGTGAAACAGCATAATCTGAATGGTACATTTATTTTATTACAGTTGTTTCCACTTCCTCTGATTTATATTGGAAATCATATAAGTGGATTATCAAGCATAGGCAAGCTAAGGTATAGTAAATTCCAGGTGGTGAACTTAAACTGATAGTTTCTTTTTATTTAATCCTTTGTAAATTTCAATTCCCCCCCCCCCAAGACCGTTAAAATGGACAATATTTTTGCACAAAAGCATTCTCATCTTGCTTGCCAAAGCATTGCTTTGGACATTCCAGTGTATAAAATAAGTTTATAATGTAAGTGTTGGGCTTAGGAACTAATACCTGTAAAGAGACTTTGCCATTCTACTTTCCATCTTTGTGTTTTGACGTTTTCTTCCTCTCTACTTTTGGTGACTGATGTGTTCTTCATCTTTGACTGCTGAAAGTAGACATTCAAAATGGACATAATTTTAGAAAATTGGAAACAACATATGATTAAAAAGTGGAATAAAATAGTCAGTGTAATTTAGTGAAACTTTTGTGAACAAAATAAACGAAATGAAATAAATGAGAGATTTGAACTAGGAAGGAATGGGAACATTTTAACTACTCAACGTTTTATAAAATATAACTGAAGTGAGAGGGAAGTAATTATGGAAAGTTTATAAGTGTTTCCATAGAAATATGATACTTAATTGAAAAGTAATGTGTAAAATGTTCAAGATTTAAATGAATATTAACATTAATGATAGAATCGAATTGGTATGGATTGTTGTTTTAATGTTATATATTTATATATTGCCTTTCTTTTGGGCATGCACTGGTCATTTCACACTCTGCTGAAAGAAACACACAGTGTGCTCATAAGTATGTGTGATTATTTTAGTTTTTTTGTAACCAGGAATAAGTACTGTATATACTCGAGTATAAGCCTAGTTTTTCAGCCCATTTTTTGTGCTGAAAAAATCCCCCTCGGCTTATACTCGAGTCAGATTCCCCTCTGAAAAAAAAAATGGTGTGGAGTCGCGGCCTCCGGCGGCAGCGACTCCCAACAGCCCCAGCCGGGAAGGGAAAGGCAAAA